AAGGGGCTCTCCTTTGGCAGAAGCAACAGAGAGCAGCTTGGAGCTCAGTTCATCCTGCTCGCATCTGTGCCAGGAGGACTCCAACCCAGGCACATGGAACGCTAAAGCCATCCCACCCAGAAAGCTGCCCCTCAAAAGGTGTGGCAATGCCAAATTTGCTAACGCTGGGGGTCATGAGCAAGTGGCACGGAGTGAGTTCGTTCATGCTCAGTTCGTCCCTGCAGAATCCCACCAAGTCCGGGTCAAGTTTGCCAGCTCCAAAACAAAGGCAGCGAAGATAAAGAGGAGGAACAGTGAAAAGGTACTACGGCCTGGGAAGCAAACCTTTTGCATGGAGAAGGCGAGAGGCTCCCATGGGGCTGCCAGGCTGCCTGCTGAGTGGAATCAGCCCCAAAGGCCACATGGAGCAAAGAGCCTCGTGCGGAGACCTTCGTATTCTGGTGACGTGACCGGCAGGTCGTGCTCAGAGTCTAGCTTGTTCCCTGTGCAGGTCAGGCTCCCCACTGTGCCATCCAGGCCAGATCTTCACAGAGCCTCTGCCAATGCACTGTATTCCCTCGAAGCAGCTTGCGTAGACACAGCCAACAAGAAGAAGCAGCGCAAGTGGCAGTCCACAGTGGAGATCTCTGCCAAGGGCCACCTGGCCAGCCTCTCTAGTAGCTTTGGCCTGGGAGCGCCAAGGCAGCCAGCAAGGAAAGCTGGTGTCCTACGCACTGTCAGTATGAGGGCTCGCTCCAAGAGTCAGCACCACGGAGCTTATGCCAAAAGTGAGTCAGACCACTCTGAGTACTCTGCAGAGTGTGCTTCCCTCTTTCACTCCACCATTGCAGAGACCAGCGAAGGGGAGGTCAGCGATTTCACGGCTAACCGTTTTGGGGATAGCGAGTCCAGTGAAAGCGATTCAGATGGCAGCAGTGACAGTAGCAGCCTTGCCCTTGACTATGATGAGGGGGATGAAAGTGAGCTGATTTGGCCTGAAAGTTCGGTCAGACAATCGGGAGCTGTCCAGACCTCTTCCAAGCCTCTTCCCCCAGTGCCCAAAATCTGTCGCATAAAAGCTTCAAAGGCACTAAAGAAGAAGATTAGGAGATTCCAACCTGCCTCTCTGAAGGTCATGACCATGGTTTAAGGGAGAGCAAGCATCTGTTTCTTACAGTGAGACATCCTGCTGGCTCTCATTTGCAAAACAAGAGAACCCATGTGCAGAGAAAAGGACTGGCTTAAACGAACTGTAAATAACCCCTGAATCAACACAAGGGATCTTACTTGTTAATGCCTGGACAGAAATGTCACTGTATCTAATTTCCTCTCATGCCATTTATTCTGTAAATATGGATCTGTGTATATTGTATGATGCCTTTTTTTACTATGCAGAAGGGTCATCATGGCGAAAATGATGGTAAGATTTTACAGGCAGGCTCTTGGTGATTTGTTGACCATACACACCCACAGAATCAGTCCCAGACACAAAGGTTTCCGGAGAAGAGGGGCTTTTCCCGACTGTATATTTAGTAGCATCCCCCTGTCTTGTGAGGAATTCTTTGCAGTCTGAAGTCTGCATTAGCCATCCGGCTGTCACTGTGCTCAAATGGAAAAGCTCTCAGTGCTCTCCACAGTTTACTTTCTTTCAGATCAGCCATCCCATACCTTCTCCCAAACATCAGGAGGACAAGTCTGTTCCTCTGTAAAAATATACTATGTTTAATCAAGAAGGCAAATGTATTTGTGAATGAAAACAAGACTTCATTTTGTTTCCTGTGTTCAGAACAGAGTATAGGGGTTGTGTGTGGTTTTTTTTTTTTTCAAACGCCCTGTTTATGATGTTCCACATTTTTGTTCATTTGTTGAATGGGTGAAAGAACATGAGGGCTCAGTGCCACTGTGCGTGAATAGCTGGGACTGAGATTATAGCTTTGCCCCCGAAATTGCAAACTCAATAAATACTATTTAATGTACTTCTGAAAATTGTGCTTGTCTGACTTTGATGTCTAAAGAAAATTATTATGAACTCTTAATGTTATATCAGGAATGCAGAGGAGCTTTCTTTGGTGAAACAGATCTGTGTTTTCATGATTCCTGTGCAGAGGGGTTGTTTTTTGTTTTGCAGAGGGTTGCTTTAGCTCAGTCAGAACCAGGGTCCTTTCAGCCTCTACCTCAGGAAACCTGCTTCAGCACCTGCTTCTAAACGAGTGAATTTAAAAGCAGCGTTTGTATTGAGGACATAATAGTGTTTACCTGACTCACTTAAATTAATGCAGTTTTGTCACAAGACACTCTTAATTCAAAACATATATTTATGTCTACAGAATGTGTTATGACTGCATTTGAGGGCACCTATGTGAAGCTTTGAATTGGTTGCTAAACTGATGAAGTGATTTTGTGTTCAGACAAGCAGTCAGTCCTGATTCTTTCCTCTGAGCACAGAAATCTGGAAGCTGAGCTGAAGTTCACCCTGCGTTTACCGAAGAGCAGGTATTATCCTCCTACCCTGTTTCAGTGCCCAGTCTGAATACATTCCTGGCCTAGGAGACGTAGGCATTACCTCATTCAGCTGAGCGTACTGGGTCTGAAACAAAAGGCAAGTGCTTTGCAGAAACTGAGGGTAAAAGAGTGCTTGTTTACTCCAAGGATTCATTAGCAAACAGAAGTATTGAAATACTAAACTTTTAGCCAATGCCTTCTATTCTTTGGCAGCTATGTTATATTTTTAAACCAGTCTATTTTCAAATCATTTTTGGAAAATGAAGCAGAGAAAAGTAAAAGCCATTTCATTGAAGTGTTCAAACTACTGCATAACACCATCCTTACTGCAACTAGGAAAATACTACATTTTGGCCAGTGGAATATGTTTAAACATTTTTTCTTGGTCCCAAGAGTATTGGACGTAATCAGTCTAGTAGGATTAACGGGAGAGCTGCACAGGTCTGGTGGTGGTTTCTTGTTCAGCATGTCTAGCAACAGAACAAACAAAATCATGATTTATGCTTTGTTGACTTTCTACACCACAAAAGGATTCTTTTTCCCATTTACACAAAAGGTTTCATTTGGGAGAGTGTGTCAAAAGTTACATATGAACCTTCAATCCATGGATTTTCTGTGTTGGAGTGGGGTTTATTGGTTAGATGGGAATTCTGAGGGTGTTTTTTTCATAGGCGAGGAGATTGTTCCTAACTAGAAAACTGCTCTCAGTAGGAGCACTCTGAAACCTGGTAAAAACCGCCACCCAGTAACTCCCTGCCTTTTTATCAGCGTAAGCTCAAACAGTAAGTTTGTGGTCCCACAACTCAGTAAATCCTGCTTTAGGGCTGTTAGTACTCCGTCAGAAATGTTGCCAGACACATGATGAAAGTGCTGATCCAGGATGAACTCACACTGCCAATACAAATAAAGAAAAATGATGACTTAATTCTGTACTGACAGGTTTTATGCCAGATGAGGTATCACTGCCTCTACTCACATTTTCTGCCAGGTCCGATAACATCTCTCCTCCCAGAGCCAGCGTAAAGCCAACATGAAAGCATAAAGCTGACACAAACGTCATCATCCTATGCCTTGGCTAGTTTGACAGAAATATGATTGTGTGCCCACATTTGATCCAGGGGAAACCTGTGGTGCTGGAGAACCCCAGCAATGCAGAGAACCTGCTGTTAAGTGTTGAGATATCACCATGCGCATGATGCCACTGAGCTGTGACTTTCTGGGGAGGGCAGAGGCGGGTGGTGCCACCCCTCCTTACTCCAGGGCATTGGACTTTCTCCCTGGCACTGCCCTTTGGAAACTGCTTTCCTCTGCTGGAGCAGAAACTATACTGGGACCAGAGCTCTGGAGATAGGACACTGCAAAACAGGGCAGGAGACTCGGGTGGCCGATAGTCCAGCTATACCAGCACCTAAGATACTATTGTAGTTCAGTACACTGGTGAAAATCAGTATGTTTTGTTGGCACGGACACTGAGAATTTTGATAACAACTGAGTATGAGTGTGACGCGTGTCGGTGCTCTGTCTGTTGGAGCCTATGGGCCTAGCTCTGCTGACAGGACCCAGGAATACCTGCCTCCTAAGCAAACAGATCTGAAACATGCTTAAAATCAACAAATATGAATAAATACTCTGCACCATTCTTTTATACTAAACATCGTAAAAACAGCTTTCAGCTCCATATGAAGTCGCATAGTGAGAATAAGGGATGCCCAGCTTTACTCGAGATCATGGTAATACAAAATAGAAATATTTACTGTCTAGTTTCTCTTCCAGAGTGAATCCACAAAATCTTTTTGCCTTGCAGCATCTTGTACTATAAAGGCTTAAGAGAATGCAAAAAATGTCGGTCGGTGATTCAATTAGAAGTCTAGCACCAAACCTGATAGCTTTAGCAGTGAGAAGTTTAGCACTTTCACTGTAACTCGATTAGCAAGTGTATAGATCTGACGACTGTTTCAGAACAGCTTTATGCAGCGTCTCTGTTGCAGGAGCTAACATCTGTCATCGTTCCAAGCTCTAGTGAATCAAAATCATGCACTGCTGAAACCTATGCACCAGATCAGCAGTTTTCTTCTGTCAAAGGCAGACATTTATGCTTTTGTGTAGGAGCAAATTGCTCCTAAACCACAAAAGAAAGAAAAGGAAAAAAAAAAAAAAAAAAGAGAGAGATAATAGAAAGGGAATTAAGAAAGTTTTAAGAGCAATTTGCAGAATAGATCAGAATTATTGTTTTTAAAACTTCATTAATCCTTTTATTGCTTTATAACTTTAGAACTGGATAATTACCAGCCTTCTTGGCCTTGACACATTCTTATATTTTCAAGTCCACATCCAGTACCCAAACCATGGGATAGAGTCAGAGAACTGAAGTTTTCTTTTGAGACAGCAGCCTTCAGACCAGACCTTTGAAGTGACTTCTGGTCAGGCAGGACACTGGTCAGCAGAAAGACAGTTATCATGTGGTAAGTCTCAAAACCAGCTTTGGATGATTCTCATGCTGGTAAACTTGAGCCCAGTGGACATTTTAAGGCTGTGCTGGAATCTGTTTTGTGTTTGCTTACCCATCCTTGTCCAAAGCTCTGAAGGGGTGAGAGCTGAAGGTGAGAGGGGCTCCAGGAGCAGCTGAAAGGCAGGTGATAGCGGCAGCTCTTTGGGAGCAAGTCTCTGCCCGCTGGACAAGGCAGGCTGAGTGTGGCACTGGAGGGCTCTGGCAGTTCCAGCCCCAGCAGCTTTTGCTAGCTTCTTTATCGCTGCTAGGACTCTACCCCAGCCCCACGGCTTCTTAAGCAGCAGTGCTGCGATTTGGATGTTGCACTTGAAATAGTCACAGACCACTTGCACCCAAAGCCACAGGCCCATCACTCCTGAGCTACAAAGTCAGGGAGTGCCCCAGCCCAGAGTCCTTCCAGACTGCCGAGTGCAAAATCCCCAGTTAGGCAAAGATTGCTCAAAGAAGTGTGTAGCAAAACAAGGCATCTTTGACCACTGCCTCTGAGAGGGAACAAGACAACAGCATGCCAGGGAAGGACTGACCCATTGCTACTCTGAAGCAATAGCAGCAGCTTTCATTTTCAAGCCCCTTTTGAGCCTTTCTCAACCCTCCTGAGGCTGAAAGTATCACCCCAGCTGTGCTTAGTGGAAGAGAGTAGCTCAGCTTTTAACTACAGCAGCGCCTCTGCCCTCCACACCAGAGCAAACCCTTTGGCTCCTGCACAGATCTGTAGTACCTATTGCTCCCTAACCATGAAGTCAGCCCTCCTCGCTGAACATGGTCCCCAGGAAGCTGCCCTGAGAGGAGCAGCTTGAATGACTGTGTAAAGGAAGGAACATATGTTAATCTGGAAAACATGGAGTCCTATGTCTGAAATTTGCTTGTGAGGAATACAAACGTACAATGACACCAATACGGTATTTAGGCAGTCTCCCATATCTTACATGGATGTGAAGGAGACCTGGGATTCCACCATTAGGTGCTATTCTTTATAAGCAGCTACTGTGATACTTTAGCTACAGGTGAAGAGCAATCAATGGGAAAATGCTCAGCTAAGGGCTGTTTTTTGATGTTTGTACTTCTCAGGTTTAAAACAATCGCGGTATGTCTAATTGTTCTGCGATGCAGAACATCATCAGAGTAACAGCTAAAATAAG